GATTTCACACGAGGAAAATGAGCAGAAAAAAACACAGAATACTTGTGTGTAGGCTGGCCAATAACAGGAGATTGACTCATCAGACGTTCTTATAATTTTTGTCAAAACATACATGTCATATGGCAAGAAGCTTCGGTCTGTGTAGAAAAGTTAACATCAAAACAAATCACCGAAAACGGGTCTGATCTTTTCCAGTTTTGGTGAAAGTTTGTCCATTTCACCAGCCTGTTTAAGTATCAGAACAAAATCGTGAGATACGTGTAGGATTCCTTCTAAACGTGCATTGAAACGCATCTTGCAAAGATTGACGACAACCTTGCTATCCTTTGGACTGACTCCCAGTATCTGAGATTCGCGAGCTTTTTACAATACAAATTAGCGCCCCAAGTTACATGTACATGGTAGCAGGTCACGACAGTACACTTTACATGTTCTGATCAACGCTTCCTATGGCATAGCTGATTCGGTGCTGTAAATACTACCTGCATATGTAGATGAGTGCAGGTAAAATGGGGGCTGTGCAGGTATTTCTGGTGTCTGCATATACCTAGCCTGTATAGCTCCATGTACTGTAGTCACATACACATGTAGGTGTATTGGGTTTTATTGCTGTATTGGCTTTATTCTGACTTATGAATTATAGAAAAATGATGAAACTGTCTCTGCTGTTCACTAAATGAATGTAAATACAAAAACAGCGACCATTTCATTCACGTTTTCTCCAGTCGGTTTTATTGAATAGACACCGTGTACACAGTATATCCTTGCTGTCCTTATAATAAAAAGTCGTTGGTTTTATATTGGTATGTTGTCTAAGGCAAGTAATATTACAAGTTGCGAGAAATACGGTACACTGCACAACGAAAAACTCAGCATCAAAGCATAAAAGAACAACCCTGTATCTATGAATAAGGACCATAACAAGACACTGCGTTTACACGATTTTATTCATCAACCTTTATAGCTAGCCTCCAGTCCTGTCGTTTTGACGCCACTGGGCACTCCGTTCGTCTGGTAGGCTGCAGGTTACAGGAGTTAGCGGCGCTTCTTGGCGACTGTAAAAAGATATAGATATAATTAGCAAGTATTATATCCCAGTCTTGTAAAACCTTTGCAGTAACGAACATTTAAAGTTTAATGATTATAATAATATTAATAAATGTACTCATTAATCTGTTAATACATATAACAGTCATCCTAAAATGTGTACATGTGGACCCAAATGTACGGTAACAGTAAATCAAGTAACTTGCATTTGTTAATTAAAATGAACAAGGAGAGACTGGAGTCTTAGGCCACACCGTGTGAACTCGCAGCAGAACATATTGACGTATAAGACAAGCCGGCACATGCTGGCATTTTGCGGAATTTATGAATCGGCACTGTATATATATGTACTGAGCTCGTGGAGCTTCGGTAGCCTGGGTGCCATCCTCCAGAGTTACCATCGGATTCATTGTCGCTAACTACCATGGACAACCCAGACCAGAGCCAGGCCAGAACCTCGGAGGACGTG